GTCTCTATGATGCCTGTGTCCCTGAGGGCAGGTGCCTGTGTGTCTCTATGATGCCTGTGCCCCTGAGGGCACATGTGTGTGTCTCTATGATGCCTGTGCCCCTGAGGGCAGGTGCCTGTGTGTCTCTATGATGCCTGTGCCCCTGAGGGCACGTGCTGTGTGTCTCTATGATGCCTGTGCCCCTGAGGGCACGTGCCTGTCTGTTTCATTCGTTCTTGCACTCCCACAGTGTTTCCCAGGACGTCATATACAACAGCTGCTGGGCCAGGACCCCAGAGTGTCCCTGTGAAACGGCAAACACCAGCCCGGCCTCAGGAAACATTTAGAACCGTCGGAAGCCGGTGCAAAGAGCTGAAGAGCCAGTGAGAAGTAGCTCCCAGGAGTAAAGCCTGCCATGAAGGAAGAGGCTCTGGGTGGGTCCCTGAGTGGCTCACCTCGGCCCTCAGGCGCTCTGTCCTCCCTGACACTCGCCTTGAATAACCAAGCCGTCAGCCTGACGCAGGTGAAAAATTCCGAATGCTGCCTGCTGCGGACACACCGGCTGTCCCAGGCATGCTGACGAGAATGCCAGAGGCGATATTGTGGGCGGTAACCTCACAGAGGCCCTTTCTGGCAGGGAGCCAGAGGAAGCCCAGCCTGAGGTTCAGGCCATGGCAGAGGTTGAGGTGCAAGGCAGAGAGAGCGCCCAGGCTGCACTGGGTCGTGTGCATGAAGCTGCAAGAGGGAAGGGCTGAGGTAGAGGGTGCGGAGGGTCTGGAAGGAGCAGAGAGTGAGCCGGGGCTGAGTGAGTCTAGACAGCATGGCCAGGGCCAAGGCTCACAGATAACAGTCAGGTGATCGGATTTGCACCTGCCGTCCTCAATAGGTTCTTGGAAACTGACTTTACAGGAAACGATGGTAAAGAAACCAGTTTCCCGTAGGCTAATTAATAAAAGCAAGAGTTTAGTTCCTATGGAATATTTTTGGACACAGAAATATCACCAAATTTCTAAATAAAGACCCAAACACTTCTAATACTACACACTGAAGTAAGTGTGAGCTACGCCTACATTTCAGAAAGACAACTAAAAGCAAGATAATTCTTTTCCAATCCATTTTTTCCAGTTCAGAATCATGGGTGGCCGGAGCCTGTCCCAGCAGCTCAGGGCACCAGGCGGGACCCGAGAGACAGGGCGCCCCTTCAGTGCAGCCCTCACTCACCCACACTCACTCAGACCGGGACAAAGAGACACCCCAGCTAACACCGTGTGCACAGCTCTAGGGCGTGGGAGGAACCGGAGTCCCCACAGAAAACCCACGCAGATGTGGGGAGAGTGTGCACGCTCCACACAGCCCTGCCAGGACTCGACCTTGTTTCTTACCCAGGTTATAATGAAACGGCGTTGAATGAAAGGACATTATTCGAGGATCTGCTGTGATTTAAGAAGATCCTACATTCCTTAAGTCTAAATTCCCCAGTGCTTCTCAAAGTACCTACACCGGTAAGAGTTTGAACAAAACATAGAGCCAAGCAACCATTGGCTTTGCTCAATTGTCCACTGGATTTGAGCTGGTCAAGTGTTCAACTGCGAATCAAAAGAAAATAATGTATAAACGTGTATATAAAACATTGGAAATATAGGAAGCGAGTACATGCACAGGATAGTTAGTACACTGTTTTGTTCATTTGTTTGTTTTCTCTTTGGGAAGGAAACTCCTTTATCAAATGTAAGTCTATATTATTCAACTTTGGGGCATTTAGCTTTTATTCGAGAGGAAGGACTAAGTGAATCTACTAATTTTCTTCCTCATTGCTCGCAACACAAACACTTTGACGGTAGGTCCTGCCCCACTTGGCAAGTCAATGCGCACTGACACACATGACAAGCCCCTTCCCCTTCTGACGCATCCAAGTTCAGTGTTTCCAGAGACGTCCACTCACCTTGGACCTCTTAGTGTTCCCGTGCCTTCCTCTGCTTTCACGGTAATAATCTTCGGATTTTGTTTGCCATGGCGGGTGTCATCTTTTCCCTCCACACATCCTTTCTCCGGGATTGCTCATCCACGCCTGTGACACGGGGGACAGAGAGCCTTCATTTCTGTGCACACAGAGGAGAGAAGCAGGAAGCTCAGGTCAGCGACACTTCTGATTTAGTCCATGTTCCCCTGGCTGCCTACAGTTTAATCACAGTTTTAGGACTTCACCTAATTAGAGGAAATTTAGGATAGAGCTGCCGCAGAATGCAGGCGAAATGGAGGCTATTTTCCTTAACAACTGAAGATCTGATGCCACCTTGGCTTCTCACATATGCATTTCATTGAACACATGGTGCTCGACCTCTCGCTGCAGGAGGAGACTCTGAAGTGCTAAAAGTTATCTACAGTCAGTAAAACCAGGGCCGGCAAAATGGGAGAAATCAATGAAACATCCGGTCAGAATCCTGTTTCAGAATGACTCAAACCAGGGTCGTACTCCAGAATCCCATTCTGAAAGATGTCAGTCGCAGAGGCAATGAAAGGCAGGCCATGAATACTGATGAAATGGAGTGTGCTGCGCCCCAAGGAACTCATTTATATGTATTTGTGATTCTCCCTACAAAGGCAGAGGAAACGGCTTTCCCCCAGGAGTCTTCAAAGTCTGGAAGAGCTTTTACTTCCCCCTTGTCAACTGTTTCACAGACAGCAGTGTGTCAGCACTGGGTGAGAGGAGGCAGGAGTGTGCACCTGCTCCCACTGGACAAAAGGGAGCAGAGCAGGTGTGTGCACCTGCTCCCACTGGACAAGAAGGGGCAGAACAGGTGTGTGCACCTGCTCCCACTAGGCAAGAAGGGGCAGAACAGGTGTGTGCACCTGCTCCCACTGGACAAGAAGGGGCAGAGCAGGAGTGTGCACCTGCTCCCACTGGACAGGAAGGGGCAGAACAGATGTGTGCACCTGCTCCCACTGGACAAGAAGGGGCAGAACAGGTGTGTGCACCTGCTCCCATTGGACAAGAAGGGGCAGAACAGGTGTGTGCACCTGCTCCCACTGGACAAGAAGGGGCAGAGCAGCAGGCATGTGTGCACCTGCTCCCTGCCCCATCCCATTTGGCCCTCAGCTCTCCCTAGATGAGGCTGTGGAAATGAGGCAAAAGATGGTGGAGGAGACACAAAGAACTCAGGACGACTGGGGCACAGCCCATTGCCCGCTCTCTCCTTACTGGTGCCACAAGACAAGCCCATTTTAAACAGAAACTGGTGTTCAACGAGCTCAGCTACAGTGAGAGCTCGTGCAGGTCAGAAGTTTTATTGTCAGATCATAGGCAATATTTTTCAGTATCTTTTTAGGAGGAAAGTAACTCTTAAAGCTACTAAGAGGCTAATTTTACATTAGGTATTTTAAATTAAACATTAAAATGTTAACAAAATTAAATTTAAATACTGAAATCTAATGTTAATGAAGGATAGTCATGGGGTGGGTAATGGTTTGGGTAGTACTAAATCAGAATGAAGACCTCTCACACCCAGTCATCTCTTTTATTCCCACGGCTTGTAGATAAAGCGCTGGGCTTAGAAGGAATATAGTGAAGGCATGTTGTAGTCCAAGCCTCCGCTTTACAGGTAAGATAAAGAGGCTCAGAGAGAGAGAGAGAGAGAGAGGGAAGGAGGGAGAGAGAGAGAGAGAGACTCACAGAAGGTTGCACAGGGAATATGGGCCCTGCAATGACTCAGCAGGTTATCTGCTTCTTTGACCCACCTCTCCACAACCGCCGTTTGGTTCCTGGAGGGGTTAAGCCTTGTACGACACACCGCGTCCACATCACGTGTAAACAACTAGCTAAGTCCTTTGCTTCCTTAGCTGTGTTAACCAACACTGCACAGCTGATGTCAGCTGAGACCACACGGAGAAACACAAGCAAACATAGCTCCCGGCTGCCCAGGAAAGCTACCAGGTACTGGGCGCCCAGCCTGAGCCAGTGTCCAAGCACAGCACTACAGAGCCGTTATCGTTCCTGCAAACCCAAAGCATGTAGGTATCGTCGCATCCCGGAGATGAGGAAACTGAGTCAGGGAAAGACGATGCCTTATGGAAGGTTACACACAGCTAGTGAGTTATCCGATTCCACCACCCATGCACACCGACCCCCTGCGGTGAGGAGCAGACAACAACACAGGAAGTGTGAGTCTCTTTGAAGACCCAGAGCCCAGGACCAGAAACAGAATGAAGAGTACTTGGAAGGAGACTAAAGAAAGGAAGAGAGTATTATGGGAACATGTTCTACAGTGATTCTGATATGTCTCAAGATCTCTGAAAATACTAAATATGCAAATGCAATTAGAGCAGATCATATAACTTCACCCATGAAATGCTGGGGAAGATCCTTGTGATATTAGGTGCCTGAGGATGAGCAACGAGCTCAAGGTCTCAGAGTTAGGGAGGATGAGTTATGATCACCCACTGTATCAGTCTGGTCGGCTGCCATATAACTTAACCACAGACTCAGTGGCTTACAAGACACTGATTTTCTCACCGTCTGGAGGCTGGGAGTTTAAGATAAGGTGCTGGTGGGTTCATTTCCCTTGAGCCTCTCTCCTGGGTTTGCAGATGGCTGCCCTCCTGCTGCCCCTTCACAGAGCCTTTCTCTGAGCGTGCACATCCCTGGACTCCTTTTGTGTCCAAATGTGCCCTTCTGATCCGGACACCAGTCAGCTTGGACCAGGGCCCACACTGAGAACCTCCTTTCAACTTCATCACCTTTTCAAAGACCTTATCTCTCTATTGTCACATCTGAGGTACTGGAGGTTAGGTCTTCAACATAGGAATGTTGGGAGAACATAATTCAGCTCAGAACACCCACAACGTAACTGGTTTTGGTGCCACAGAAAATCCCAGCCCATGCCACCACCTTCAGTGCCCCAGGAAGGTGGAAGCCCTTACTGCCTGAATTCCGGAAACGAGGACTCTATGACAGGTTTTAGGTTACTTTTTTTAAAAGGAGGGAAGGGCCATAATTAAATAAACTTTTTCACAATAGTATAAACCAAGGGTCAGTAAACTGCCTGTAAGTCAAATACAGCCTGCTGCTTGTTTTTGTAAGTAACGTCTTATTGGTACAGGGCGAGTGTCCATTCATTTATGGATTGTCTATGGTTGCTATGGAGCTGCAACTGCACAGTTGATTGTTGTGACAGAGACACAGGATCAAGAGTATTTATTATCAAGCCCTTCACAGAGATAGTTTTCCAACTTCTGATTTAAACTGTCAATCAGGGTTCTTTTATTGTAGGATTTCTTAGGGTCTTGAAAATATACATTTTTAAACTTCAAGGGGAAGACATATAGTAAACTTGCATCTTACATAGGAAGGAGTTTCTAAAGTCAGCTCAAACGGGAACTGTGTGTGGTCAGAATTAACACTGATATCCCCTAGGGCCGTGGTCGGCAAACTGCGGCTCCAACAGAGCCAAATATCAACAGTACAACGATTGAAATTTCTTTTGAGAGCCTAATTTTTTAAACTTAAACTATATAGGTAGGTACATTGTTATTAACTTAATTAGTAGGGTACTCCTAAGGCTTAGGAAGACCCACACTCAAGGGGCCAAAGAGCCGCATGTGGCTCACGAGCCCCAGTTTGACGACCACGGCT